GCAGATAGAGCGTAGAGGGTGTCTAGGGAGTGTCTAGGGAGTGTCTAGGGAGTGTCTAGGGAGTGTCTAGGGAGTGTCTAGGGAGTGTCTAGGGAGTGTCTAGGGAGTGTCTAGGGAGTGTCTAGGAAGTGTCTAGGAAGTGTCTAGGAAGTGTCTAGCACGGCAGGCCTGCAGGCGGGCGGTGGAGTGGACGTGCGTGCCGCAGCAGGTATTCGTGTCGAGGCCGTCGTACGTGATGACCCGCACGGGCCTAATCTCGGGACATCTCGGGTAATCTCGGGTAATCTCGAGGCCGTCGTACGTGACGACCCGCGCGGGCCCGGTCACGGAAGGGGGCAGGGGCTTCGAGGACTTTCGCAGCCCCGGCACGCGGCCCTCGTTGACGTCGGCGACGGAGTGCCACGAGGGGGCGACCGCCTAATCTCGGGTAATCTCGGGGTATCTCGGGGTATCTCGGGTAATCTCGGGGCACTCTCGCGACAGAGTGCCACGAGGGCGTGGCCGCCGTGCCAGCCTTGACCGCCTTGGGTAATCTCGGGTAATCTCGGGTAATCTCGGGGTATCTCGGGTAATCTCTCGCCGTGCCAGCCTTGACCGCCTCGTTTGCCTCCGCCTCTAGCTCCGCCATCATCAGCGGCGTGAACTCGGGTGTGCCGAGCTCGAGGAACGAGGTCGCGTCCCCGAGGCCCCACGAGGTCGTGTCGTAGCCCCACTTCCGTAGCGCTATCGCGGTCAGCAGGTGCTGCGCAGAGTGCTGCGCCATGTTGTCTTCGCGCCGCGGCCAGTCGAGGACGACGTCGACCGCAGTGCCGGGCTCCAGCGGCGCCGAGAGCACGTGGCGCGCGAGGCCGTCCACGTTGTCGACTCGTGAGCACTGCACGCCGCCCACAGTACCAGCATCGCTCGGCTGGCCGCCGCCCTCCGGAAACAGCACCGTGTCGCCGAGGACGACCTCCCACTCTGGGAGCGGCGGCGGCGGCACAGCAGCACCCTTGCCCTTCTTCCCCTTGCCGGGCGCGGCAGCAGCAGCAGCCGCTCGCGGCTCGCACGAGACGACGACGGTGCTGACGGCGCGGGCGTAGGAGTCGCGCTGGCACAGCAGCTCTCCGCAGCGCACGGGCGTGGCCATCGGCGCGACGGCCACGGGCGTGACGACGCTGCGCGCGGCGGTCTGTGCCGCCGCGACCGCGATGAGGAGGCGCCGCGCCGTCGTCCGGGGTCCCCGGGGGGATGGGTGCTCGCGCCTGGGTGGGCGGCAGAGGAATGAGAATTCCGGGTTTTTCTTTCTCAAAGCATCGTAGTTCCTCCTTTCCCTCCAGACACACCTTCCAACGGTCGGGGCGGATTTCACTCCTGCAGTTCACTCACTCGTCACCTCTCCGGCGAGGTGCTCTCTCTTTTCTTCGCAAGGGAGCCTGTCATCAGAGAGAGAGAGAGAGATTTTTAGCAATACCAAACAACTCTAACACTCACACGTAATTTGGGGCCTGGAGCCCTGTTCACGCGCGCGCGAGACGTGCAGACAGGGTTGCCAGGTGAGAGCGAATGGCGCGGTTCACGCCTCGCACAACAGAGAGAGAGATGCGCTCTGCATGGTGGGACATAAAAGAGAGCGAGTACTTGGGCGAGTAGGCCGTGCGGTCAACGCTGCCGCGCGCGACTTTGCGCGCGAGGCGGCGCAGCTTGAGAACGGCGGTGGGCGAGAAGCCGCCGCCGAACGTCTCGTGGAGCAGCAGGTTGAAGTTGTTGCGCTTGACAAATTCGCGTCGTGGTAGAAACCGCGATGCGCCTTGACGTAGCCGTGGCCGGTCTTGTGGGAGAAGGGTTGGCTGGGCTGCCCGCGCGCCTTGCAGCCCATGTTTAGGCGGCGGGCCTTCTCTTCGGTGTTGCCGAAGGCGTAGGAGTGGCCAACGGAGGCGGGCGTGCCGCCACTCGAGGCGTTGCCAACGCCCGGCGAGGAGGTCTTGAGGAGGGGCGTCCAGAGCTTGACTTCATTCACCTCATCGCATCCTCCTGGCCCCGCATGGGGTTCTGCGAGGTCAGTCTTGTACCCCTCATTGTACTGCCGGGTGAGCTCTGGTTTCTCCTTGTCACCGTGCACGACCGGCGCGTTGGCCGGGGCGCGCATCGCGTCCGCCCAGGCGGCGAGGACGCCGTCGTGGGGCCGCCGGTGGTGGGCCTTGTTGTAAAGGTAGTCGCCGAAGAAATCGACTGGCATGCCCCGCTCGAGCGCGACCCGTAGGGTGGGAAGCGCCGCGGAGAGCCAAAGGCCGAGCTTCCGCTGGAGCTCGTCCTGGAGGATGTCGGAGGAGAGGGCGGTGGCGTACGTACCGTCGACACGGACATCGAAGGCCTTGCCGGCGAAAGGCGTTGAGGCGGAGACGAGGCGCGCGGCTTCGCGGTTGTTGACGGCGCTGTCTCCGAGGGACGGGTTGTTCTTGACGTGCACATCCCGCGCCTTGACGAGCTCCTGGTGCGCGAACCAGTCCTTGTGATTCTTGATGGCAGCGAGCGCCCGCGGCCGCGGGTACGTGGATTTGCAAGTGCCATTGAGAATCGCGTCGGTAGCTGGAAGGGACTCGGGCTCGGGGAGCGGGACGCTCTTGGGGTAGAACTCAGTCAGGTAGCCGCCGCGGACGGTGTAGTACTTGTTTTTGTCGCGGGCGGTGCGCTTCTCGCACACCTCCTTCCAGTCCGAGAGGGCGGACTCGTAGGTGGCGATAGCTGCGGCGATGGCGGGGTACTTGGACGCACCTGCCTCGTCGAGGGCGAAGTCGGGGTTGTGGGCGACGAGGGTGCGCCAGTTCTTGAGGAGCGACATGGAGAAGTCGCTGTCGGCTCGCGTGAAGGCGGTGTCGATGTTGCACCCGCCCATCTCGGTCGGCAGCTGTGCCTGGAGCCACGCGAGGTCGCGGAGCGCCTGGGGCGAGGCGTCGGCGCGAGCAATGCTCTCAAAGGACTTGCGGATGCGGTTGTGCGCAAACTCGAGAGCCTCGCACGCGACATTGGGCGGCGTGTTTGTCATCAGTGCGGGCAGCGTGCAGGACTGCAGGCAATCACCCGGCGGCTTTTTCTTTTCCTCGCATGGGGGGGGCAGTACAGTGGGTTGCGGGCATTAAGAAAACAGGATTCGGCGGCACGCCGCCGTTTCTAAGCCTTTCCACAGCCCTCACCCACCCCACGCCGTGGTTTCTTAGCTCCGGCCGGCACTCAGGCCAGAGCCGGCCCCCTAAGGATTTTAGGTCAGAGGTAAGCTGCGGTCCGCGAGGGCGATGCCAGAGTCTGCCGCCGAGTCGGCTCTCTGGATGACGGGAAGACGCACACACGCCTCCATCTCCACTCCACTCAGAACACCGTAGACTTGGAAAGTGACAAGTGCGCGCGCCGCAGGCGAAGAGAAATTTTGAGCTGGGGCTCCCGTTCACACTCGAGACTCGTGTCTGGCCTTTTCTCGGGGCCGCGCCTGCGGCGCGCCGTGGTTTCTTAGATTTTTGCGGAAATCTCTTGGTAGGGTTTCTTGATGCGACGTTTTCTTAATGCCCGCAACCCACTGTATACACCCACACGTGTGTATATGCCCGCACCACAACGCCGCTCGCGCCGCCTCGCCGCCGCCGCCGCCGCCGCCGCACACTGCCCCCTCACCGACCTGCCCCTCGAGCTTCTCGCGCGCGTCATCTCCCGCTGCGACCCCGCCGACATCGCTCGCGTCGCGGCCGTCTCGCTGCTCTTTCACGCCTCGCTTGCGCTGGAGGCCATCCGCTTGTGGGCGCAGGAGCGCGGCTTCGAGCTGCCGGCGCAGCCCGAGGGCGAGGGCTGTGCCGTGCGGTGGCTGTGCTTTATGGCGTTGCTGTGCGAGTCCAACCCGCCGGCGAGGGCTGCGGCAGGCTCCTCGCACAGCCTCTTCATCGACGGCGAGGGGCGGCTCTCGTCGTGCGGCAAGGCTGAGAGCTTGCTGCCGGGACTGCTCGGGCACGGCGAGGGCGTGACGCAGCTGAACACACCGACCCGCCTCCCTTCCCCGCTGGGCGGCGAGCGCGCCGCGAGCGTGTCGGCTGGAGAGTACCACAGCCTCGCCCTCACCGCCGGCGGCGCTGTCTGGAGCTGGGGCTATGGAGTGCGCGATGGCCGGCTGGGCCACGGCGACCAGGAGAACCAGCTGCTGCCCAAGAAGGTCGAGGCCTTTGCTGGGCAGCGCGTCATCGCCGTGTCGGCGGGAGACGACCACAACCTCGCCCTCACCGCGAACGGCGCCGTCTGGAGCTGGGGCTACAGAGAGCTGAGCCACGGCGTCGGGCAGAGCCAGCTGCTACCGGAGACGATCGAGGCCTTGGCTGGCCAGCGTGTCGTCGCTGTGTCGGCGGGAAGTGACCACAGCCTCGTCATCACCGCTGACGGCGCCGTCTGGAGCTGGGGCGTTGGCCGGTTGGGCCACGGCGACCAGCAGGACCAGTACCAGCCCAAGAAGATCGAGGCCTTGGCGGGGAAGCGCGTCGTCGCTGTCTCGGCGGGATTCGCGCACGACCTCGCCCTCACCGCCGACGGCGCCGTCTGGAGCTGGGGCTATGGAGGGCTAGGCCGGCTCGGCCACGGCGACGAGCAGAACCAGCTGCTGCCGAAGAACATCGAAGCCTTTGCTGGACAGCGCGTCGTCGCTGTGTCGGCTGGAGGCAAATACTGCCTCGCCCTCACCGCTGACGGCGCTGTGTGGAGCTGGGGCTTTGGAGGGGATGGCCAGCTGGGCCACGGCGACGAGCAGAGGCAGCTGCTGCCGAAGAAGATCGAGGCCTTCACTGGGCAGCGCGTCGTCGCTGTGTCCGCTGGGGCCCGCCACTGCATCGCCCTCACCACCGACGGCGCCGTCTTGACCTGGGGCAAGGGCGAAGACGCCTGCCTAGGCCACAGGGAGGACCTGTCCAACCAACTGCTGCCCAAGAAGGTCGAGGCGTGTGAGCCTGCGGCGCAGTAAGGTAAGGTAAGGTAAGGTAAACTTCTCCACACACACGAGGTGGTGGGGCAAGGGGGGGCAACCCTCGCGTCTCCACGTCTAACGACAGGAGCCCCACGGCATTTAAAGTGCAAGGCCCGGTGCGCGTGGGTGAGCGGTGTGTGTGTGTGTGTGTGTGTGTGTGTGTGTGTGTGTGTGTGTGTGTGTGTGTGTGTGTGTGTGTGTGTGTGTGTGTGTGTGTCACGTCACTGCATCCTCTGCCGGTTCCTCCCGTCGCCTCTTCTTTGTTCGAATGTTTTTCAATCCATCCTTCACGAAGCCCTCCCATGTAGCTAGCGTTCTTTGCGAATGTCTCGAGATGGCCAGCAGGCGCTGTCTGCTCGCGGCCTGTGCGGGCCGCTCGTCCTCCTCGCCCTTCTTTCGTCCTCCCGTCCCTCCCCTCCACCATGGCCTCCTCGGCACTTCTTTCTCCATCCGCCTTGCCCTGCCTTTTCGTAAGACCCTTCGCTCGGCGTGGGGCATGCTCATCGAGATGGAGCCGACTGCACACCTCAGTTACAGTAACCCAAAACAACCTGACGTGGCGGCGGCGAACATCGGCAAAGGGCATGTGCGCCTCGTTGGCGACTTGAAACTGACGAGCTCGCTTGCGTGCAAGGGTGGCGATCGGCTCGGC